AGAGGGAGAAGCAGGCTTCCCGCCGAGCAGGGAGCCCGATGCGGGGCTCGATCCCAGGACCCTGGGATCATGACCTAAGCCGAAGGCAGACGCTTAACGACTGAGCCACCCAGGTGCCCCTAATCTTTTTTAATCGTACTCGTTTCAGCAGCACATAGACTAAAACTGGAACGATAGAGAGATTAGCATGGCCCCTGTACAAGGATGACGCACAAATTCATGAAGCGTTCCCTATTAAAAAAAAAAAAAACAACAAAAAACTTTGCTCCAGAGAACACCACACATATGGACCTGGGGAACCATGGAGTTTCAGCAAGCTGCTTGGTTTACAGGCGGGGAAATGGAGAGAAAGTGACCTTTCCAAGGTCACACAGGGACCGGTGGATCACAGACGCTCGGACATGGAAGGGAGCAAAGAGTTCATCTTCTATGACCTCCACCCCTAATTCTATACCTGGACCACGTCCCTCCCCGTCCCGGCCTCTGATCCCTGAGCCTATCCTGGGGAAAGGTCTTTACCTGGCTGTTGATGTTATTGTTCTCTCCAAACACCAGCAAGCCCCCAATGAAGGCAGCCAGGAACGAGTGCACCTGGTAGGTCTTGCCCTGCACGTGGGCCTGCAGGGCACAGAGCCCCTTATAGGTGAACACAAAGTAGGCCAGGTTCCGGGAGTGGGTGTACGTGGCTTGCAGGATGGCCCGCAGCTTCTCCTGGAGGCTGAACAAACACAGGGAACCCACATGAGTGGCGGCCCAACCACTCCTAGGGCATTCACCCACTGGGCATACAAACCTGAGCCAGCCCCAGGCCTCTCACTTCCATGTCCTTGGGGCTGCTCCCCCACTGGATTCAGGCCTTGACTCCATGTCACTTCCTCAGAGAGGCCTTGCCTGACTATCCTGTCCCGTTTTCCCTCACAGCTCTTCCACCAGCTGACATTAATAGGCTTAATCTCTTCCCATTCCCACCCCACCCCAGTGGAAGCTACCAGAGGGTGGTGTCTACACCTGGCTTGTTGATCCCCAGGGCCCAGAGCAGGGCCTGGCACATAGTAGGTGCTCAGTAAATGACTTTTTGGCATAAGCATGTGAGGACATGAACGAGGGAGTAAGGGAGAGCCTACTATGTACTGGAATTGGGGATAGGATTCTGAGGAAAAAATGCTTGCTGCCTTCATAAGGTATATGATCTAATGGAAGAGAGAAACATAATCACAAAGCAAGGGTCAAACTTTGACCTTGACCAGAGATGATCCTAGGATCCGAAGGATGAGGAGTCAATGAGGTGGAGAGGGGAGAGGGGTTGCATCCCAGGCAGAGGGATCAGCACGTGCAAAGGTCCAGAGGAGGGACAGAGAGTGGGGAGTAAAGGAACAGCAAGGAACCATCAAGGCCTGAGCAGAGAATGTGAGGGGAAAGAATGTGAGGAGAGGTGAGGACATGCAGTTTTGTTTTTATCCTGAGAAAAGTGCACATTTAAGTTGGGCAAGGATTCTGTTTATCTTTTTTTTTTTTTAAAGATTTTTTTTTTATTTATTCATTTGACAGAGATAGACACAGCGAGAGAGGGAACACAAGCAGGGGGAAGTGGGAGAGGGAGAAGTAGGCCTCCCGCAGAGCGAGGAGCCCGATGCGGGCCTCGATCCCAGCACTCTGAGATCATGACCTGAGCCGAAGGCAGACGCTTAACGACTGAGCCACCCAGGCGCCTCTCTGTTTATCTTTTAAAATTAAGTCACTAGGGGGCAGTGAGAGAACACAGGGAGAAGAGCAGCAAGTACTCCCGGAAGTCAATTCAAGGATCGCACAACCAAGTGCTCTCAAGGCTAGATGAGGGCCTTGAAAGTGAGTCTACTGGAACCTGTGGAAATCTGCCAGGTGAGTGGGCACAGCCAGGAGTCAGCTGGTTCTCGCCTGAGAGGAACATGAGCCCGGTGTTGCTTTTTTTTAAGAACACACTGTGCCCAACATGGGGCTCGAACTCATGACCCCAAGATCAAGAGTCACATGCTCTACTGACTGAGACAGCCAGGTGCCTCTGGTGTTGCCAGTTCTAATGCAAGCAAGCTGGATTTCCCAGTTAAGTGTTGGTGCTAATCTTGCCTTCACAAATGCTTCTAGGGGCGCCAGGGTGGCTCAGTCAGTTCAGCGTCTGCCTTCAACTCAGGTCATGATCCCGGGGTTCTGGGATCGAGTCCTCCGTCGGGCTCCATGCTCAGCAAGGAGGCTGTTTCTCCCTCGGCCCCTCCCCCTGCTTGTGCGCACACACTCTCTCTCAAATAAACAAATAAAATCTTTAAAAAAAAAAAGGGGCGCCTGGGTGGCTCAGTTGGTTAAGCGACTGCCTTCAGCTCAGGTCATGATCCTGGAGTCCCGGGATCGAGTCCCGCGTCG